AGATGAGGTCCTTAGGGACAGGGTTTAGTGGTGGGATGGCAGGGTTAGGGGAACGGTTGGCCTTAGTCATCTTAAAGGGCTTTTCCAGCCTAAATGATTCTATGAGATTCTCTGTTTCTAATGGTGCAGGAAGGTAAAGGGGGATCAGCACGCATTACCCTCCAAACACGGGCAGAGAATGTTTTTGGGGTAAATGCAAGGGTGAGTCTGGATGGCTGAGCCATGCAGTGCAGAGAAGGGATGGTGGAGCCGGGGGATTGATCTGCACCTCACTCAGAGCGAGGTGAAAGGCTTGGGCTAATAGTGATCACGATGATAACATCTAGGGAGAGAAAATCAAGAAGGGAAAAGATAAAGAGAGAAACTGCCTTTTGACTGACAGCTCAGAGCTCTCCACCCCTGCTTGGGAAGGGAAGGCTTCACGTAAGAATTTATCAACTTTTGTAAAAATAATACAGCTGGTCTGTTTGGACCCTCACCTGCTGCATCACTTTCTGATTACAAATGCTATCTCTTTTCCCTGGAGATATCTGGTTCTAGATGCTGAAAGTTTACCTTGGACCTTCTTTGGATCTTACAAAATACATCTGCGGTTTTGCTGGTGCAAATCAGGAATCCAGGGCACCAGTCTGCCGTTCTCTTTTTCCCTAAAGCAACAAGAACTCGCTCTCAGCCAGCACACAGAGATGCTGGGACAAGCCACCCCGTGTCTCCATTGCCATCTAGTGGCACCGGGGTCTCCACCTGCACCCCACGCAAAACCCTGACACATGGAAAAAAAGGGGGGGGTTCGTTCTTTTCACAGAATCACAGAGTCACAGAATGGCAGGGGGTGGGAGAGACCTCGGGGGATCACCCAGTCCCACCCCCCTGCTCAAGCAGGGTCACCCAGAGCAGGGGGCACAGGACAGCGTCCAGGTGGGGGTTGAATATCTCCAGGGAAGGAGGCTCCAGAGCCCCCCTGGGCCGCCTGGGCCAGTGCTCGGGCACCCTCAGAGTAAGGAAGTTTTTCCTCATATTCAACTGAAACCTCTTATGCTTCAGTTTGTGCCCATTGCCCCCTGTCCTGTTGCTGGACACCCCTGCAGAGTCTGGCTCCATCCTCGTGACATTCACCTTTAAGATATTTGTATGTGTTGATGAGATCCCCTCTCAGTCTTCTCTTCTTCAGGCTGAACAAGCCCAGCTCCCTCAGCCTTTCCTCACAGGGGAGATGCTCCAGTCCCTTTATCATCCTAGTTGCTCTCCTCTGAACTCTTTCTAGGAGTTCCTCATCTTTCTGGAACTGGGGAGCCCAGAACTGGACACAGTACTCCAGCTGGGGTCTCACTAGGGCAATGTGCAATCCAAACATACCCATCAGTTGGGTTGGGTTTGTTTGTTTGTTTGGGTTTTTTTCCTTCCCGAATTATATTAATGTAAGTATAAAAGGTGAATTATCAGCATTTGCTCCTGTCCATGGCAAGGATGAAGGCTGGGGGAGGCACCAAGGCTCTTCTGCACGCCCGGCCGTAGAAGAGGCCATAGCAGCAGGACACGGGGGGGAAGCTCTGCTTCTCTGTATCACATTCAATGCTTTTATTTGCTGCCATTTTAAAACCTCCGGGAAGCTTCCAAACAAACTCCTCACTAAAGAAAAACAGCTCACTGAGTGCCTGGGTTTTTTGTCTACAATAAATAACATTCAACTCTTCCTGCTTGGACTCCTTTCTGGGTGCTCATTTGTTTGACTTCCCTGTGGCTTTTCCTCAATACCAACCATTTGTTTGTATTCTTTAATGGCATGAATCACCCCTTAAGCAAACCCTAGGTGACGCGGGACTTTGACCTCATTTATGGATTGTAGGTCTGTGAGAAACCTCATGGCTTTAACAGGGTTGGTCTGTGGATGAAGGAGGGCAGCGAAAGTATTACCTTGCCCTCTTTGTTCTTCTTCCCCAGCAACCAAAAACCTCATTTTGCCTTCAGAAGCAATTATCCTCCATCTCAGGAGGAGAGGGTAAGTCAGGAGGAGACGCTGACCCACAGGGTATCAATGTCATCTGCTGTCCCACCAGGCAGACGATGGTGCCTGCAGCTCCTGCATCCACAAAGGGCTTTATTAACACTACGATATAAGCACAAACTTGAATCCAAACTCTCCTCCTTGGTGGCCCCGACCCTGCCAGCAGGAGGCTCTGTGGCATGGGCATCGCAGGCAGCACAGACCCAGCCCCCCCCTGCCGAGAACAGCAGCTGGGAAAAGGTGGCCACTGATGAAAAACACGCACACAAGTACCTGGGAAATACTGATTATATTTCTATGCTTTTATAGCAATATAATACTTCATATGAGACTGGGAAACATACTTTCAAATATTTTAAGTTAGCTGCACACCTACATAACCCGCTTATGGAACAGGAACGCCTTGTTGCTCCCTACTTAAACCCATGACTTACCAGTTGCACAACAACATAATAAATGCCCAGAACCCCATGAGCTTTTCTTTTGCTCTGGAAACAACACACTCAGATAAAGCTCATTTTATAAACACGAGAATTGCATTACAATGTCCAAATATATATATATATAAAGAAAAACTTCTACCTTTCATAAATACATCATACATAAAATATGTTCCCAAAATACATTCCTGCATTTTCCCCATCTAAGATCCCTGCTTGTACCCAAAGTGTCTGTAAGCTGGGAAGGGCAATCGCTGGGCAAGGTCTGGAGATGGGCTCGTGGTTGCAGGTGGCTCCAAACCCACATTGTGAAGAAGCCTTTGGTGTTTGGGCAGTGTGGGGGTTAACTCCTGCATCGGTGGGTCTAATCCTGCCTCCCTGGTAAAACAGGGCTCTCCTGCACGCTGTGCCCCACCAAAGCTGCACCAGCTGCCCATGTTCAAGCAGCCAAAAGCCACCCCCTCATCTCACCCTTAGCACTTCTATTTTTTCCAGCAGTTCCTGGAGATGCTCAAGTCTCTCCCAGCACTTGACAGAGGCTGGGAAACAAGGGCTTTGGAAGCGGGAAGGTCACTACCTGGCTTTGGTGGAAGGGGATCTGTGAATGGAAGAAGCTGCTTTCTTGGCCACCACTGACCTGAGGATGGACCACGCTCCCAGCGCTGCCATCCCTGTGTGCAACAGGAACCGCTTCGCCTCTGCCCTGAGCGTTGGTTCTTTGCTAACGAAGGAAACAAATGCCCATCCCATGTCCGTTTATGAAAGCATACACAAAATATACAAAAACATCTACAAAGTAATTCTAAGTAGCAGCCGGCACAAAAGAAGCACCAGTTTTGCAGCTCAGTAATGTAGGTCCCGTCCCCATGGACACAGTTTATACAGTGTAGGACTCCAGGGGCCGGCCACAGCCCTCCCCCGGAGCTGTATCTGGATCGTGGGGCTGTGCAAACACAGGCAGACTAAGCACTAACATCGCCTGATCTGGGTTGAGAGGGAAGTCAGACATACGCCCGCCCAAAGTCCACTTTCCCCCCTCAGAAAGATCTTGGTCAATATTGCAAGTGGACATCGCAAGTGTGTGTCCAACGACGGGCAGCAATGCTGGTGAGGGGTCTGGAGCACAAGTCTTATGAGGGACCTGGGGGTGTTCAGCCTGGAGAAGAGGAGGCTGAGGGGAGCCCTCATCGCTCCCTACAACTGCCTGAGAGGAGGGGGGAGCTGGGGAGGGGGGTCGGGCTCTGCTCCCAGGGAACGGGCGATGGGACGAGGGGAAACAGCCTCAAGTTGTGCCAGGGCAGGTTTAGGTTGGATATGAAGAAAAATTTCTTCACCAAAAGGGCTGTCAAGCACTGGAAAGGGCTGCCCAGGGAAGGGGTCGAGTCCCCATCCCTGGGGGGATTTAAAAGCCGGGCAAATGAGGTGCTTAGGGACAGGGTTTAGTGGTGGGATGGCAGGGGTAGGGTAATGGTTGGGCTTAGTGATCTTAAAGGTCTTTTCCAACCTAAATGATTCCATGATTCAAAACTCATTTTGGGAACACTGACCCCTCTACTTGCAAGCAGCCCACTTACAACTCAGCATCCTTTCCACAAGGCGATCTGTCGTTAGGGCAAGCGATCCCTTAAGCTACCGGTCTAGAGGTAAATTAAATTCATTCTGAGTTTTCTCATCTACCCCAACTCATGGTCATTACAGAGCAACGGAAGAGAAGCATTGCATAGATCTGTAGCTCGTGTCTTCCTGCACCCGACAAACAGCAAGAAACAAGTTCAAGTTTCGCACAGCACATTACAAAAGGCATCACCTTTAAACAAGGCAGAAAAAAGAAAAAAAAAAAAAAAGAAGTGTCACCACGGTGTAAACCCTGCAATGAAACGAGGCAGTGAACATACAGTGCTCAGCAGCTCTCAGGGGCGGCTGCCTGTAGTGTACCGATGAATTTGCTAGGCAAATCTCCTCTCAAACCCCTCTCCCACTGCACAGTAATAGGAATTTGCATAATTCGATAACCTGCTCCCGAACGGCAGGAGGGATGCTGCGGGTGCCGGGAAGGAGGAGGACACCGTCAGGGCCATCTGCTTTGCATACAGTAGTTTAAGGGCCAGGCGTCCCCTTTGCAATCCAGACTGCAGGACAGCAGGGCTCTTTTCAGGCTTAGGAAGTCTCAGCAGAAGTTTTGCTACAGTCGGCTTTACAACTGAGATATTAGGGACCAGATCCTCTGGTGGTTTAAACCCCACGTGCTCCATTGGAGTTACCGGCGCTTATTTCCACGAGTGGAGAATGCGGTCCTTGCTTGTCACAGACAGAGAATAAAGCTACAGTAGCCCTTTCTTTAAATAAAATTAAATAACTGCATATGGCATCAGCGCACAATTTTAAATGTGCTTCTGCTGTTAAGAAAATAGCAAGCACACCAGTGGTTACTTAAATTATTTCTCTTGAACTAAAAAAGTGATAATATTACTATTAATTTAAAAACCCCTAGGGACTGCGTAACGTCTTCTCATCGTATTTTGGAGACTGAGAAAGTCACTGCCACGCGTACAGCGCTATATATCCTCTTCAGCCGGCAGCGAAGGTTTGTGTTCCTGGAGGTCACAGTTGCCATTTTCAGATGCATCTGAGCTGCCCGGAGCAGACTCCGGTGGCGGGGGTTTGTAGAGTAAACAGGCGACTATAAAGAAGCTTGTCCCAAGCACCTGCAGCCATGAAGACATCCCGTTACTCTCTGCTCCCCCCAAAAGCAGGCACCTAGCCCTCATGTGGGATGAGATTTGCTGACCAAGCTTTGGGGAGGAGATGATGCTGAAGGCCAGCCTGGGCAGCAGACCCATGCACAGAGCTGGAGGGGGTAAAAATCTGTATTTAGCCAGTCCCATAGCAATGGGAGAGTGAGGATTTGGAAAGCTGTTCAGCCCCCCACAGACACCTGGAGCACAGAGCTGCGTGGACCAACATCTCGTGAGCTGTTTGCTGGAAGGCTTTTGAAAGCCTCTTCATCACAGCAACTGCTAAATGGGGCAAGTGCTTGTTTGGGAGCAGTTAAAATGATGGTTTTCAGCTAATAAATAAGAAACACACAGCTAAGCTCTCTCTTTTCTAGCAGTGATCAGGGAATGGTGATTTACAGCTTGCCCACAGTGCCATCCCTCACTCTCACCAGCACACTGCACTTACACATTTTACTCCATTTCTAGCAAAAAAATCACTTTGGTAACTGTTGGGAGAAAAGGAGGTATTTCATATGGTGCAACAGAAGCTGTAAGCCTAGAAAGTAATGGGAATTTAAGAGAATGATGGTGCCTGGAGCACCATTACCTGGTGAGAAGCAAATGGAGCTTTTGCCTTCCCTGAGAACTTTTCTCGTGCGAAGGTCTAATTCGGGCTGGGGGATGGCAGATCAGGACGAGCCAATTTGGTAAAATTTTCTCCCAGAGCAAAACGTGTCTCCTAAAGACCCGCTCGCCTTATCAGAGAGTGAAGTTAACGGGCAGTATCACCTTGTAGACCAGTCCAGCGATGAGGGTGTATCGGCTCATGGCTGAGTTCTGGTAAATGTAGCAAGAACCTTGCTCGCCGCACTGGTCCTGCCAGAGCAGGCAGGATTTATCAATCATGGACCCAAAGGCGATGGGGCCAGGGATGCCTCCTGCGGGAAAAGAGAGTGGACCTTTAGTTTGGGCAGCACCTATGCACCAGCCTTGCGAGACGCGAGGTGCTTGCAGAAAAGCATCGGGCTCTGCTGCTACCGTGATTAAGCAAACTCATCCTGCAACATCTACAGCTGTGCCCAGAGCCACAAGGTACCCCAAATACACTGAATTTCAAGATCTCAGAGTCCAGTGGGTCTTTTGTTGTCCATCCTGACCTACATGTTGCACAAGAGCCAAAAGACAAACACAGGAGCTTCAATGCCTCTGCTCCTTTTTCCTTAAAATAAGGACACATTGCCCGGACGTTGCTCTTCAACTCCACCTGAGTCTACAGAATCCTTCCCTCAGTTTGCAAACCACATGCAAAGGAATTAGATTTTTCTGAATGACAGTAAACAAGAGAAAACATCCTGCTTTCAACAGTGTGTGTCCTACCCCCTTCATTTCCAACCCAACCTGTTTTACTCTTAGGTAACAGCTTGGCACACGCTCCACAAAGCTGATGGACCATAGCGATGCCCAGATTCACTCCGTTCCATACCTAGTGTTCGTACTACGATCCACTGGATCCCGAGGGCGAATGACCTTTGCCTGTCAGAGACACACCTGGGGAACAAAAGGGGAATTGTTTAAAAATGCTGCCAGGCTGCACGGCACCTCCCCGCCCCGCAATGCCACGCACTCGGGTCCAGCATGCTTGGCACCTCTGCAGATTGAGGTTCACCCCAGTGCAATGTCACCCCCCCACTGCTGCCAACTGGGACACACACGTGGGTGCCCGATGTCGGAGGACAGAGCCGCCAATGCTAAAATTTGCTTTCCCAGCTAGAGAGGGAAGGGAATTAGTCCTGCTGCTCCAGGCTGCCAGGAACAAGGTGGCTCCCATCACACCTTCCCCAGGGCTTGAGCCAGCAGGATAAAGCAGAGAGGTGGATTCTTGCAGCGCTGGCGGAGAAGGAGGCAATCCCGTGCTTACCGCAGAGTGGCGGGGGGGGAAAAAAAAGCAGAGGAGCCGTCAGGCCAGGAAGGCTGCTCAGGAAGGTGAAGAGGATCACCACGAACATGAAGAACAGGAGCAGGGGCCTTTTTGCACAAGAGGAGGTGCATTTCCCTGCCTCTGCATCACCGGGGCCGGGCAAGAGGGTCTTCTCAATGCAGCTGCACTCATGATAGACCTGGGAAAGAAAGGCTGGTGGGTGCTTCGCCAAGGAGAGCATGGTGACGGTCAAAGCTTTAAATAGAAAGAAATTCAGGGAGGACAGAAATCAGACAGTTTTGCTCCCGGAGCAGAGCGAAGCAGAAATCAAGCTGCGTTCTTGACACACCTCTGTTTCAAAGCAGGTTATTAAGTAAGAGATATTAACTTTGCTAGGCAGTCCTTCAACGCTGAATGTCATCATTACCCTTCTTAAACCTTCACCTGTCTCTATGGGTAACGTGCTGGAAGGATGAGTAGGTGCACCGTGTTCACTGAAGACCCAAAATAAGCCTTGGGAGAAGAATTAGATGCCTACCAAGTTCCCCACCTGCCTGGGTGATTTGCCACAGATTTCAGCACAGTTTGACCCAGAGTGAGGCAAAACCGGTTGGACACACTGCAAGAAGCAAAGCTGGGAGACCTCAGGGTATGTTCTGCCCTCATCCCAGGTGGTACCTGAGAGCATCCATCCTGCACCGGGCTTTTACACTGATTCGCAGCAAAGCTCAGACCTGTGGACCCTTCTGCAGAGCCAGCCAAACCACGCCCAAGAAGATGTGCCACCACCTTGTCAACACACAGTGCTTTCAGACATACCTTCTTGCCATTCCTGAGGTTTTCGGACACTTTTGTGCACCCAGCGTGGCAGGGAGAGTAATACATGATGTCATCACTGCCACAGACAGGGCTGTAGGTCTCCTGTAGGCAGCCACACTCAGCATTGCAGGCTGCTGTAAGGTTTAGGTGGCCACCAGGCAAAGCACTAAGGGAAACACAGGCGCAGTCAGTGGGGAGACACTGGACAGCATTTTCCAGGAGGAAATGGGGAGAGCAAGAGGAGAAGGGGGGATGCTAGGAGATGCGGTGGATCCCCAAGTAGCACAAAGCCAGGCTTAGAAGGGTTTCATCTCACCCAATTTTAACCATGAACAGGAATGGTAGCCTGGAGCTGTCTCTTCCCCACAGCTACCAAGGGAGTTTAAGTGATGAGTTCACAGGGAAACACCTCCAGATTCCCACTTTTAGTCCAGTTTATCCCACTGGATGGAGATGGGGGACCCTGGGAAGGCAACTGAGGAGTGGAGTATCTCACACACCGGCACTGTGGATCTCCCCTCCCTCACTACAGAGGGAGCCTCTTCCACAAACTCCAACTGGACACAAAAATTAGGACATCTATATTCTGGGTCTCACCCATGGTATCTGCCTGTAAGACTGACTGGACACCCTCCTCCATCACCAACACATTCACACCTGACTGCCACCAGCACCGCGTATTTGGAATTATCCTTCTATCCTGACCAGGGCCACGCAGCACAAGACCGATGGGATGATTGTTATTACCTTCCCTCGTACGTCTGGGTTACTCCTGCCATCGGCATGTTAGGGCAGTGAATAAAAAAAATGAATATAGCCAGCAGACTTGACACCGTGCAAAGTAAACACAACTTGATGATTCCTGAACAGCGGAGTTTAAATTTATTCACAAGGAATCCTCCCAGGAATGTGCCTCCCCCTCCAGCTGGCACGACCAGATAACCTGAAAAAAAGGGGAAAAAAAACCAAACCCACAAGCAAGTTTAGAAATGTCAGTAAGGAGTTATCAAGTCTGAATACATTAACTGCAGTTAATGTGTCTCTGCATGAGAACAACCCCCTGGTTGCTGCATGGCTTCTTGGGGGAGTTCAGTGGACTTTGCTACAGGAGGTGGTCCTCTGTAACAGCTCAGGTAACGGGGCATGAGCCTGGCAAGGCAGCTTTTCCTATCCAGAGATCTTAAACCAGCCTCTTTGAGGAGCACATCAGGAGTATTGATGCTTGTTGGACACCACTTCCTCAGTCTACAATACGGCAGCTAAGTGAGGACCTTCCCCGTTTGAGGATGCTGCTAAAATATGTCCCCCAGTTCAGACATCCCTCGTTACAGGAAACATTTAGTTAATGTTTCTTCATAACGCACTAGAAGGAACAGACTACAATTATTTTGCCTTCCTCTAGAGGGTAACAGATGGCTACAGAAGCGACACATTTCTTCCTGATGTCAGTAGATACAGCTCTGAAAACGCACTTGGTACAGATGCGCTGATGGGAAACGATCCTGTCTAATAGCTGGAGACGGTAACCGCTCTGTAAATGAACTGCAAAGCATGTTTGTCTCCATTCTAAATGAGCCACAGTGCTCTTGGATTTGTAGGCAAAATGGGAAAACATTGCGAAAACCTGGTTTCCTTACCAAAAAAGGTAGCAGCTTCAGAGGCACTTAAACTAAACTGAGACTCCAGGAACTTGGGTCCGAATGTGGACATCCCAGCAATGAGGGTGGCTTCGGTCGCTCCCGCTAGGCAGAGGAAGATGAAGGTGGGGTTCTTCAGAAGCAGCAATACTGATCTGGGAAAGACAAATAGACCGGAATTCAATCACTGTGGCATATTTTGATTTCAGGTCTATCCCTTATCTTCAAGTCAGAAGGACCACATGTAGGATGAGACAGCATCCCACCATGCTGCATCTCCTCAAAAGAAAAAACCCAAAAGGGAGCCAATTGGAGTTTGAAAGAGCAGTGAGCTTCTCTGCTTACACTCATTGAGTCCTACCAGCCAAGGAAGGATGCTGAGGATACCCTCCCCTCTCCCTATGTACCCACCCAGAATAGCTCTGTGGACACTGTCTCCATTGCAGGTGGGGATCAACGAGTTTGCCCTCAAACTCTGCCTTTATATATAACATCTCTCACGTGCCAACCTGCTCCAGCTCCTGTTCCTACTGAGTGTTGTCCCAACTATCCTCAGGTGCCTAACAGATGTGCTTATCCTGGTCGTGTTTTATAGCTCCGTTGGCTATAGCCAACCGCCAAGGGAATCTGAGGAACGTCAACCGAACACCTAAAACAGGAGGGAATAATCTGTGACTCTTCTCATGAGAGAATCAGATAGGTCTATTTATCTCATGTGCATGTTCAAAATGGGGATTGGACACCAGCAGTGCGTGTGTGATATTATTCACCCTCAGGGTGCCCACAAACTTCTATACAGATGATTTCAGCAGTAATTTTCCAACGTTTAGGGCCAGGCTGACTATTTGCCATTTCTAAATGGGACAGTACTGAAAGGACACTACTCCCCACCAAATCTCAATCATTTCAAGGTTTTATTAGTCCCTGATGGCAGTTATCTTGGGACTCCCGACTCAACCAAGAGCAGGGAACAAAGTCGTGTTACATCCTCACATATGCACATGCCACTCTGTGCACCCCTGTCCTCGCAGCAATAACAGTCTCTGATAACCGTAGATGTTTTGCAGCTCAGGGGAAATACCAAGCAAGCCTTTCTATATGGAGGAAACACCTCCAAGACACCTTATATCCCACTGGAAAACAGAAAGCAATCTTCCCCCCACAATCTAAGCACAGCTTTAATTTAAGCTTAATGTATAAGTTGAGCAAATACATTTTATTGTTGAACCGCCAGGATTTAGTAGAGAGCCACAGATATGCCTGAAAAATTGCCATGTGTCATTTATATGCAGAAAGATGATCCAGCAATGATTCCGTCTCCGAGACACAGAAACACCCTCAGGCACACAGGATGGTCTCAATTATCTCTCACTATCTCGGATATTGGACTAAGAGGGTTGACACGGCTTTGCAGGAGATGTTTTGTAACGAGCTTGAGATTCTGCTGCATGCCTTTCCCCAAACCCTGCCCGGACCAGTGTCACAGATCATCCCATTTCTGAAACAGGCACAAACCCATCATCACGCAGCGATGGCAGTGACAGGGATGCCATGGGATGCTTGCTGAAGGGAAAGGCACAGTCGCTTACCACCTACTGCTTCGGAGAAAATGTGGAAGTGGAAAAAACCACTGTAGCACAGCAGAGTGAGAGACATGCTGAGGCTCAGCATCAGATTGATCCAACTTTACCCACAGAAAGCGGAGAATTTCATTATACCAAAAGAACAAAGAAGCTGAAAGACAGAAATATCGCACGCTCTTACACCTTGATTACAGAGGGCTTTATACTAACCATCGTCTAGCTGTTGGGATTAGTTTAACTTACTAAACTATTTTCCAGGAATGATCTTTTCAGCTGTGCTTTATTTGGAAACACAAAACCTCATCTCTTAGGGAGAAAACACTTGTGGACCTTGCGGCTGATGTAGAAAACATACAACACCTTCACCTCTTTACAGCTCAAGAGATAAAGAGAGGAATTGTCCCCTGGCACTAGCGTGACTTCGTGCCTGTTGGCCAAGGGTTACAGGTTAAGACTTGAAGGCAGAAAAATGCCGAGGAACTCCTTTCAGCACTAAAAGTAAGGATTTACTCACGTAATTTAATCTGTTTGTAGACAGAAGATGTAGTTGTAAGGAGCTACGGCACGTAAAACCTTACCAAAGTCAACACAGACCTTTTCTTTGATATCAGTACAACTTTAAACACACCCAGAAACCACCTAACACTTGAATAGTCTTGACAGTCCCCAGTTCTTGCAGCCAAAAGGATTTCAGGAGGCTCAGTGCTGCCAAGAGAAGAATCCCATCATCTAAAAAAGCTTGATCCTGCAAGTCTTTACTGATATGGACACATATAGGTACTCGTTCCTCATGTAATGGCCCTGCTGAGTAGGTTGGGACCACCTGTACAATCAGAGCCTGCTCCTCTGAGAAACACTTGCATGCCCAGGACACCCCAGGCTGTAACAGAGTACGGCCACAAGCTAATGAGTCATTAAGGACAGATGGGTATCTGTGCAATCTTAGAGCACGCAAATGGGGACTTTTCCAGCACGAAATGACATCTCCTGTCACCACCATCAAAGGACTGGAGGGCAGTATGTACGTCCCCGTGGAATGTAAACCAACCTCCCTTTACAACACACGGAAGCTGTGGGTAAAGCCCTGAGACAAACTGAAGCCCCATCCCACCACCTAATCCAAGAGGGATGAGTGAAATAGTGACCGTAGCTTCTCATGTTGAAGATCAGGGCTTGACAGACCAGGGAGTGATCCTGACAAACTGTCCTGTAGCTCACTAGGACAAAGCTTCCTCTCCTGGCACAGCTCTATGTGTCTGCTGTTTGAATGCCTCTGCATTGACAGCAGGGGTTATAGCAATCATATGGAAGCAGAGAAAGGAAACTGCTATTTTATCAGGCCTTTTCAACCCAAGAATTAAGACAGAAGTCTCTTCAGGGCAGGGGATGAAGCTGTATGGGCTGCATTCCTGTAAGCTCCGGGTCTGGGAATACAGCAATCCATTAAGCTCACTTCGAAAGGACCTGCTGGCATGGAATTGGATTTTATTTCATCAGTATTTCTGGTTATCTTTGTGAGACTCTTACTGTCCATACGGTGAGAAAATGTGCATCACCTGATCCCTTACTAAAACAAAACCAAGCATCCTCCAGCCCCGCTCTCCAGCCTGGTCCGTGTGTCCCCACGAGCTGCACGCACAGATGTGATCTCCTCTTTAATGCAAGTTTCCAGAATAACAACCCTCTAAGGCACTTCCCCTTTTATTAATCAAAAGCAGGGAACACAAAAGTCTGTTGGGTTTTTGCTTTCAAACGAAAACCACACGAAGGTCTGGACTGATCTGAATTATTCGATATGCATTGCCCACCTTCGGGTATTCTTCAGGAACGAGGGGTGAAAGAAGATGGTCCCGGAGGAGGACTGCCCCCATACCTGCTGCCAGCCAGCCTTCACCAAGAAACAGTGGGAGCTTTGTTCCAGACAAGCAAGAAACACATCAACCACTGAATGTCAACCCCTATCTGCTACCCTGTTTGTGTTGGTTTTAGTCATAACCTTATCATTATTTAAATGCAGGTTTTGAATTTAATTTCCGCGTGGGGAATAAGCCGTGACCTCGGAAAATGGCACCCGGTCAAGAATGCCATTTAATAACAGTATTGAAATCTGTTCAGTGTAATATTCTCCATAAAACTGCCTTAACCCCTGGTAAACTTTCTACGAAGTCTCCAAGAATTTCAGACCAAGGCGAGCAGTTGTGTTGGCACAACACAGAGCGGCCACCGCTGAAAACTCCCGTACCGAGCACCTGCGTCAGCCCTGCTCTGCCAGCCCGCAGACACCCACGACTAAAGTGCAGAAGGAATTGCTGGCAGCGGCACGGGGTTTGGCAACACTGAATGTTTGCCTTTGCACGAGCCAGCCGCCACACATGGGTGCAAACTCCTCCCTAAGAACAGTCCTGGGAGAAATACAGAAAAGAAAAATCTCCTTATTGACTGCAAGCTCCGAAAGGAATTGATACCCAGGTATCTCTGCTGCATCCAGAGCTTGCACACCAGCTAAACCCAAGCTGTAAATAAGGCAGCACCTCTCCCCCTGCCCTCCATTTAAATACAAGTTCACACCAAAAAAACCCAACCCCCTAATAGATTTCAAAGATCCATAGCAAATATTTCCAGGTTAAAAGACCACTTTTTATTTTGGCCACTTGCTTGTCCCCACCCCGGATCCCTTTAAACCATTTCCTAGCAAACCTCCTTGGGTGCAAGCGTGCTCACCCACAGCACAGAGCCAAGCGGCGGCCCTGGGATTGAGCACGCCACGGGGTCGCTGCTTTGCAGGAGAGGTAAGAAGTAGCAACACATAGAAGTTGGCTGGAAGATGCAAAGGCAAAAGGAAAAAGAAAGGAAGAGAAGAATAAGAGAGAAAAGGAACTGAAAGGTACAGTGCAGGCTGTCTTGTTCCCCGGATTTGGAACGGAGCTGTAAGAGTCAGGGGTTTTGTTTCCTTTCTTTTCTCATTAAAAGGACAAGATAGGGATCTAACACAAGCGAAAACAGAGGTAAGGAAGAAAAGCCCCGAGGGGACGGAGATGTTGGACAACACCCAATTGGGCCAGGTGAGGCCAGACACAAGCAGACAGGGAGAAATAACGCTGCTGGGGAGAGGGAATGAGATGACAACGCCTGTGCGTCACCTAAAGGTTGGCACCAAGCCACTCTCGGTGAAACTCAGCGTGTTGCACCTGACTGCAGGTGGATCTTCAGACGTGGACGTGTGCTTCTGAAAACCACAGGCGAGGACCAGCCACTGGTCCCCAGCCCTCTCAGGCAACCCCCAGCGCAATTTCTAGTTCAGCCCATTTGCCCAGAGCCCCCGAGCCGCTGACGGGACCAAGTGCTTTGCAACCTCCTCTGCGAGGAGGCGTCAGCGCTACGGTTGAAGATGGGCAAACCCTTGTAGCTAGCACTGCAAAAAGCAAGCTCAGTTTGGGCCCATCACTCTCGCTTCTGGCGAGGGCTCCCCGAGCCTCAGGGGTGGGGTGGTTTTCTCACCGAGGTAGATCTTTAACTGTTTTCCCAAAGTCTGGATCCGATGCTTTTTTGTGGCTCCCATCCTTTAGCTGATGAGCCTCTGACACCCTCATAACGATATACCGCTGGGATCCTGAAAATGAGAGGCAAACGGGGACAAGGAGCGTGTGAGACACGGGATGAGGATGCTACCGAAGCGGTGGATTTGCAGGGGGAAAACGCAATGCGGCATCTTCCCTCTGCCGACGGCTGCGAGGGAGGAGCCGGAAAGCTACGGGGGTGAAGTCCATGTAGGAATTACGATTTAAACACTGGAAGCCCTCCCTCTGCCCCTGTGTCCCCAGCTCCACACGTGCATAAGGACGCAAGCCCCAGGGCGAGCGCGAGCACCCTGCTGTCCCAGCCCCAACTGCCTTGAGCCGTGGTGGAGCCGCGTACCTGGGAGGCGCTGGGGGTACCCCAGGATGGGGATGGAGATGAGGAGGGAGGCTGCTCCGGCCCCGAGGAAGCCGATCCACCATGCCCCTACCCACAGCGTATTCTCTGGGGCGATGTCGATCCTGTAAGAAACGAAGCCGAAAGGACACAAGGGAGAGAGGAGGCGGTTTGAAACAGAGCGGGCCAGCTTGGCGTGACCTCTCGCTGAAGCTGGCAAGGGTTGGGGGGACATGGGGGGGATGTCTGCGAAGGAAAATGAGCCCTGGTCTCTCCCATGGCCATCTGCTGGGGAGGCCACGTCCAGCACCCCTCCTGCCGCACCAGAGCGCTGCCTGCCTTACCCAGAGCCTCGCAAACGGCATCATTTAATTCTCCTTTTGTCTCTGGCTT